GATGTTTCGGAAGCAGGATGAACTCCTAGCACCAGCTCGCATGCGAGCAATTCAAGAGGAATTGGCGGCATTCTTTCTTGACCACGTGATCGCTGAAGACGGAGAATACTATGTGGACCATGAGTCCGTATGTTAGGAGATTATATTTGTAAGAGATAATTATTGTATATATGTAGTCGGTAGTGTTGGATAGATATACGAGAACTTGTTTTTCGACCAATCTCTTGGAGAAGGAGAGGTGGTCGATATCACTTCTCTCTGTATGCATATATGTTCGTGACGATCTTCTGTTTCCTTCGTTTGCTTACTAGCTAGCTAGCGTGTCTAGTCCTCTATATACGTATGTATAGTACGTAGCGTTGACCAAGCACGGACATAAGAGAGGACACTTCTTTCTATTAATTATAGCTAGCTAACACAATATATGAAACACCTAAATTAACCCTCAAAAACTCCCAAACCCCCCCCTCCCCTCAAAAAAAAACAAAAAATCCAGCCACAGAAATGCTGACGCATGGATGCCTATTGGTCCCGGTTGATGCCACCAACCGGGACCAAAGGCCCTCCTGCCTGGGCTCCGCGCACAGGCCACGTGGAGGCACATCTGTCCCGGTTCTGAATTGAACCGGGACTAAAGGGACAGGGCATTAGTACCGACCCTTTAGTCCCGGTTCAGGAATCGGGACAAAAGGTCCTTACGAACCGGGACAATAGGCCCGTTTTCTACTAGTGTATATACTAAACCTTGTCAGTTACAAAAAACTACTCCCTCTGTCCCAAATTACTTGTCGCAAAAATTCGGGACAGAGGGAGTATGAAATAAGAGTACATGAAAAGAAGAAAATCATGTTTTTGGCCGCAGAAGAAGAAAGAAAGAATCCCCAATTCTGTTTTTCTGGCTGCCCGTACGAGAATCGCCATCGAATTTCTCCGAAAACATGCTGGAATTAATGCCCAGGCACCGATTGGACCACGCGATATCTCTCGTTAGATTTGAGAGGAGCCGCTGCCCGGCCATTCCCTCAACAAGATTCCCCGTTAGCTGGACGCGTGATAGAGCATTCGAGACGCAGCAAGCATGCAAGCAGATGAAGAGCGCGGTTTGGCCCTGGTCCTGTCTTGGCGCGGCGCATACACCCATCAACAGAAGAAAGCATTTGCATCGTCGTCCACCCAATAATTGTTCCGAGCACAGCCGACGACAGGGAGACGTTCCATCCACTAATCACAGGAAAGATTCCGGCTGCCACTAATCTAGCACCGTCTTTCGCTACTCCCTCCGTCCGGGTGTACAAGTCATTCGCGTAGTTTTAGGTCATCGATTTGAGGAATTAAATATGTGTTATATGTCATGAAAAGTATACCACTAGATTTCCACACGGATGTAGTTTCTAAATATATATTTTTTGTTACATATAATACATATTTAGATAGTTAAATTATCGACTTAGAACTACGCGAATGACTTGACGGAGGTAGTAGTTAATTTGGGCGGCACCACACCACACAGCTTATCATTAGAAGAAAAGACAAGAGAAGAATCTATCTACCATATACTCATATCTTAATTATGCCGCCGAAGCATGCAGCGCAACGCAACCACTCCACATCGATCGCGGTCGCTCTTCTCTTGTCAGCACACGAAAGGGAATTTAAAAGGTGGTGACCGCCGGACCGGGAGCGGCCATGCGCGCACGGCCACGTCACTGGGCGGTGCCGCACCACGCTCCTCCGCCAATGGTTTCTCCACGCGGCGTGCTCCCATTGGCCGGGAGGCCCGCCCTTCATCCACAGCTGGGCCCACTCGCGGCTTGGGCGGCCAGAGCAGCCGAAACGTCCATGTCCGGCCGTCTATAGTAGAGCGCAAAGACGAGGCGTGCGCGTTGTTCTTGGATTAGTTGTGTGGCGTCCATCTCCAATCATTCCTACCTTTTGCTTATAATCTATGCTCATCCGTATGCAACACAACGGGATTAGGTACGCACAATGCCACAATTGAGTTCATGATACCGACGATTTTTGTTAGTGATGTATATATATATGACCTTTGCGGTTTTGTTAACAATATATCTGATTAATTGCGCTTTAGTGGAAAGCACAACCCCAATTTAGTGAAAAAAGTGCAAGTTGCACTTTTTACTTATCCGAAGTGTTTTTTTTGCACCCTTTGTCATAATCAATTTAGATATATGACCGGCAATAGTCTCGCTGGCCATAGTGTTGTGGTTCTTTTAACCATATCTAATTAATTGCGCTTTAGTGCAAAGTGCCTTCGCCACGAACGACACATGCGCCTCCCTCACCCATCTCCCTGTCCCTCTCATCGCCGCTGCAGACAACAACGGTGGCATGGAACGTGGCCATGTGGTTCGGGCCCTCACGTCGGTCGGTATAAGCCATGTTGCATTGGTAGGATTCAACTGTATTTTAGGCATGCACAAACAATGTTGATAATTTTTGTTCATGACATATATTTACGAGCAACAACATACTCGCTGACCGGAGTGTCATGGTATTGTTAATCATATATGATTAATTACGCTTCAGTGGAAAGTGTCCTCTAATAAATTTTTCTCCAGAAATAGTTTCGATAAACAAAGTGTTTGTTTCACCTTTTATCCAAACCAATGTAGATACATGGCCAACAATAGTCGCGTTGGCCATAGTGTTGTGTTTTAGTGAAAAGTGCCATTGCCATGAGGGACATCGGCACCCCTCTCACCCTGCCGCCTACCTCCCCATCTCCCAACCCCTCTTCTCGCTACCACAAATGACGACCGTGGCATTGAGTGTGGCCGCGTGGTCCGGGCCCTCGCGCCGGTCGATGCACGCCAGTGCCGCCCCCGATTCTTCTGGCACAGATTGTTCAACTTCAACTTGAACATCTTCGCAACATCGGACAACGACGGTGTCATGGGACATGGCGGCATCCAGGTCCTCACGCCGGTTGGTCTAGTCTGGCAACGCCCACCGCTACTTCTGGCACAAATTCTTTAGCTTCAACTTGAACATTCCTCGCGTCGGGTAGGTAGGATTCGGCTTGATTGTAGTTACGCATAAACGATGCTGACAATTTTTGTTCGCATTCCCATAGTGTCAAGAATCTCGCTTCCCATGGTGTCATGGTTTTGTTAAGCATACCTGATTAACTGTGCTTTAGTGGAAAGTGCAACTTCAATTTAGTGAAAACAATGTAAGTTGCATTATTTACTTATCCCTTGCGTCGGTCTATGTACGCCGGCACTGCCCACCATTGCATCTGGCATAGATTGTGGAGCTTCAACTTGACCATCTTCGCCATCGCAGACGATGATGACGCTGCGGAACGTGTCCGCGATTGGGCCCTCGCGTTGGTCAATGTACGATAGCACCGCCTACCGCTGCTTCTGCCATCGATTGTTTAGCTTCAGCTTGAACATCCTCTCGTCACATAGGCAAGATTCGGTTGGACTGTAGGTATGCACAAACGATGCTGACAATTTTAGTGGAACTGTTTGTCGCATTTTTTACTTACCCAAAGTGTTTTCTGCATTTTGTTTTCTTAGAAACAATTTCCATTAACAAAGTGTTTTTCGCACCTTTTCCCAAAACAATTTAGATATATGTCCAACAGTAGTCATGCTGGACATAGTGTTGTTGTTCTTTTAATCATACCTGGTAATATTTAGTCAAACGCGCAAACTCCAATTCATCGAAAAAAGTGGGATTTACACTTTTAACTTATTCGAAGTGCGTTTTGCATCTTCTTCCAAACCAATTTAGATGTAAGAAAATTCTAGATGGCTTAAGTTTAGCAAAACCACCATTAGAAAAACTTTATGTCGGGATTCCCCGACATAGTACCACCTTCTCGCATGCTTTCGACAACTAATGATTCTCGGACAGAACTCATTGTATTTTCGTTGTTTGTCACATAGCTTACTAAAGATTACATCAAGGTTCCAGGATCACAGAACCACCACTACCACTGCCAGAACAAGCCGCTGACATGCCGCTGTTGCTGCTCTCTTATCGGAGGGGCCTAACCTTGTCGATGACAACCATGCATTTTTCATGCATGTGCTTCTAAGGGCCAGTGCCCAGAGTGGTAGTCATCATCGTTGAACCCTTTCTAATTAATGTTTACCATCCGGTCATGTCACAGTTAATAAGGATTAATTAGACAAAAAGTTATTTTACGGGCATTGCGCTAGTTGGCGTCCATCTTCTTTGTTTCCACTTGGGCAATCCTTAAACTTCCTTTCAGGCTAGTCACAATGGGAGGTATGATATACTAGTATCATGTACTATATGATATTAGTGTATTGATATTATATCCATGGTGCATAGCATCGTAACTTGTTATCATAGTGACCTCATTTATTGTCATGCATGACACATGCTACTACATCATTTACCATGATATGATATCATATCATGATACTTAATCCTCACATTTCTCATTTAATTGTGTGGCACCTCAGTAAAAATGCCAAGTTGACTAGCCTCATTCCTCCTCATGGCTCCCCTGCTTGAGTTTGCCGGTGTGGTGTGTTTATTTCTCTATTTCAATCTAAAGGTGCCATTTTTTTGATTTTGGAAGATCGATTTGAGAGGTAAAAGAGAAAGAAAAACCTTTTTTTTTTGCCCCTGCTTACATAACCATATTTCTCAAATGATTTGCTGCCCAAAAGAAACCAAGCCCGTGATGGATCTAGATAGCTCAGCGCTTCCTTTTTGTTCGTGATAAAATTAAATACCCTATGGATGGCGCAGAAGAAAAAAAGAATGGTTAGGGGTGTGTGCAATCTGATCCCAATCCTAATCCCAATGGCGATGGCAGGCAAGCGGTCGTGTCGTGACCGGCCGTAGCAAGTTGCCCGGCCGGCCTCACATCCATTCCCGGGCTATATATAACTAACACTGCATGATCGACACACCACACAATTCAACACTGCTAGCTACACAGCACACGAACCGATCCATCCATCCAGAAAAAAAAGAAAGAGTGCCCGTCGAAAATGCCGGTGAGCAGGATCGCCATCGGCGCCCCGGGGGAGCTGTCCCACCCGGACACCTTCCGCGCCGGCGTCGCCGAGTTCATCTCCATGCTCATCTTCGTCTTCGCCGGCTCAGGCTCCGGCATGGCCTTCGGTAAGTCCTACCCCCATTTCTTTCTCCCTTTTCTGCTGCATCGACCGATCATCATGTCATCACTCATCAATCACGCCGTACTGATCGCCTGTTGTGCATGGCGTGGCAGGCAAGCTGACTGACGGCGGCGCGACGACGCCGGCGGGGCTTATCGCGGCGGCGCTGGCGCACGCGTTCGCGCTCTTCGTGGCCGTCTCCGTGGGCGCCAACATCTCCGGCGGGCACGTGAACCCGGCCGTCACATTCGGCGCCTTCGTGGGCGGCAACATCAGCCTGCTCAAGGCCGTGGTGTACTGGGTGGCGCAGCTGCTCGGCTCCGTCGTGGCCTGCCTCCTCCTCAAGATCGCCACCGGCGGCGAGGCCGTGGGCGCCTTCTCGCTCTCCGCCGGCGTCGGCGTCTGGAACGCCGTGGTGTTCGAGATCGTCATGACCTTCGGGCTCGTCTACACGGTGTACGCCACCGCGGTCGACCCCAAGCGCGGCGACCTCGGGGTGATCGCGCCCATCGCCATCGGCTTCATCGTCGGCGCCAACATCCTCGCCGGCGGCGCCTTCGACGGCGCCTCCATGAACCCCGCCGTCTCCTTCGGCCCCGCTGTCGTCAGCGGCGTCTGGGAGAACCACTGGGTCTACTGGCTCGGCCCCTTCGCCGGCGCCGCCATCGCCGCCCTCGTCTACGACATCTGCTTCATCGGCCAGCGCCCCCACGAGCAGCTCCCCACCGCCGACTACTGAAAACCTCAATCTCATCTCGTCCATCCGTCATCGCCATGAGAGATTGAAATCGCTTCAAAAATTCCAGCAAGTGTACGTCGTCGCGTCATCATCAGTAAGCCAGTTTAGTTTCATTGCGCTATCTTGTCCTTGAGAAATTCAGGGTAAACAGTGTGTGCGAGTCAGTCAGTCAGGAATAATCTCATCCTTCTCTTATCTTGGTGTATGTATGTACGTCCTCAATTATGAATGCTTCTATTCCATGGTCAAGATTGATGTTTGCACAAATGTATTTGTCTCTCCTAGCAACTTGATGTCTTGCCAATCTTGTGTCCATTTTTTTCTGTACATACTCTGGATTTTGTCCTGTCACGACATAATATTGGTAAGCATTGTTGATTGTGATGGATGCAAAGAAATTGATAGTTCGATTGCGTATACGATCGAATTAATTTCACAGACTGTATGGTGTGACTTGTGAGTATGAATGATTGCAAAATGCCAAAAGGAAAAGACAATGACAGATGTGAGATTCCCAACTAGGCCAGGGTTTATAGCACACCCACCCAAAATATGTTCAATCAAAGTCGCCTTTCTAGCCGTTAGATCTCGATCCAACCCTCTAAAGGGGACTCACAACTCACACCTTAATACACCACGCACCCACCCTGTGCGTCACATTCTTATTCTTCCTTCTTTCACCTCTGGGGCGACTCTACGGAATCACTTCTTCTCCGAGAAACTTGTTATTTGTCTTCATCGATGGTAGCAAGCTGGTTTGACAACACACATTGTAAAGCACTAATCGAGAGCTTTGCCACAAAGTGTGACTTGCTTACTAGCAATGTTAACTAGCTTCACTAGAGCGTGACATGAAGTGTTTCCATAGTTTAGCCAACGTGTCAAGTCAGTGACGGTGAGGGCCATGGTTTGACCGGAGTGCGTATGTCTTGAAGCGTCATGCCACATAGGTCCACGCCTTTGCAAGCTTAGTAGGTGGTGAGGATGATGGATACAATTGTGAAGCCCCAAGTTGAGAACTTCACCACATTTGGGATCCATTCGGTGACAACGTTAACTGCCTCACTAATGTGGGGTATGAAGTGTGTCCACAGGTTTTCCCACATGTTGAGCCTTTTAGAGATTCAGGCTGCATACCGATCATTCGAGGATCTAGAAATTACAACAACAAGGTTTGTTAATATAATTTACCAACATCGACTACCGGACAACGGCGTACAACACATCAACATCATGGGAAGGAGCGTCCATAGTCATTCCCCGAGATGTAGCCGATGTTTGGTGATTTGGTTTTTGGAGGGTCGATATGCGGCTTGAATTTCTACAAGTTGTACCATAAGATAGGCTTGATGTTTGAAAGTCATGGATTATTGCTTTTAGAGGAGTTGAGCCGCGCGCTAGTTTAGTTCGTCATGAAACGATGTCTGTGGATGTCAGTAAAGGTGAAAGTGGCGGAAGAGAGACCAACATCGCAGTTGTTGCATTCTTTAACGTGATTCGAACGGCGAGGAGATCAAATCTTGGGGTCAAAGAGTTTGCGAGATTGGAGGAATCATAGTAGGATACGTATGGCGTGGGGGGCTTTCCCTATTGACGAGGATACACCTACAACAATGCAAGCAGCCCAATTTAGTGTTACCTCTCGATGGTTTCAGTGGATTTTTTTTCCGGTTAGTGTTACTTCCCCAGGTTCAGTTTTTGCCGTTTTTTTAGTTTTTATTTGGTTTTTATATTTCACTGGTATTCGACATTTTTTGTTTCCAATTTGTTCCTTTTCACTTTGCGCTTTATG